ATTATGCAACCAATCTTAATAATGTTGTAAGTACATAAAAGTTACCACCAAGGTAAAATTGAGGTGTGCCTCCTGATAGGTTTTCTCCAAAATAAAAAGTGAAGTACCTCATAACCAACTACATATTATGCCAGAATCTTGCACCTGGACGTCAAGCTTTGTGAATAATATGAAATCTATTCAAGTTCCAACCCGAGTGGAGGAAGCTCGTTATAATCCAAAGTGGGCAAAGGCAATGGATAAAGAGATGTTGGTGCTACAGAAGAACAATACATGGAAAGTGTTGGAGCTACCCAAGCGAAAAAAGCCTGTTGGATGTCGTTGAGTGTTTACAATTAAATACAAGGCTGACAGATCAATTGATAGATATAAGGCAAGGTTGATAGCAAAAGGATATACTCAAACGTATGATGTGAATTACTAAGATACTTTTTCTCCAGTGGCCAAGGTGAATATGGTACGTGTTCTTATTTCTTCAACTGCAAATATGGATTGGCCATTAAAACAGTTTAACGTGAAAAATGCTTTTCTTCATGGTTATTTGGAAGAAGAAGTGTATATGGATTTTCCTCCGGGATATGATCCTAGTGGGAAGACCAGAGTATGCCAACTACATAAGTCACTCTATGGGCTTAAGTAGTCACCATGTGCATGGTTTAATAGGTTTACTCAAGCTATGAAGAACAATGGGTCTTGTCAGTCATTCTGATCACACGTTATTCGTGAAACATAAGCAGGACAAAGTGATTGCATTGATTATCTATGTAGATGATATGATTATAATAGGAGATGATTATGAGGAAGTTTTAAAGTTGCAAAGAAACCTTTCTGCCGAGTTCAAGATGAAAAACTTAGGGGATTTGAAGTATTTTCTTCGAGTTGAAGTTGCTCGCTCATCCAAAGGTATCTTCTTGTCTCAACATAAATATGTTCTGGATTTATTAAAGGAGACTGGTATGCTAGGGTGTAAGCCTATGAATACTCCTGTTGTGGAAAAACATCATCTGGGGTTGTATTCGAATAAAAAACCGGTGCATAAAGGCAGATATCAGAGACTTGTAGGGAGATTGATTTATTTGGCTCATACTCGTCTGGATATTGCCTATGTTGTGAGTGTTGTAATGCACTCACCTAGTGTGGATCACATGGTTGCGGTCATGCGTTTTTTAGCATATTTAAAATCTGCACCAGGAAAAGGAATATTGCATGGAAGACATGGGCGTTTGAAGATCGAAGCTTTTACTGATGTAGATTGGGCAGTTGATGTGACTGATATGTGTTCCACTCCTGGGTATTTCACATTTGTTGGAGAAAATTTGGTTACATGGTGAAGTAAGAAACATAAAGCGGTATCTCAGTCATCATCTGAAGCCGAGTACAGAGGTATGGCTCAGGGGGTTTGTGAGATTCTTTGGTTACATAGACTTATTTGTGGTCTTAGGTTCAAGCCAAAGGAGACTATGAAATTATATTGTGATAATAATAAGTTAGCAAGAGACATAGCATACAATCTGGTACAAAATGATAGAACGAAGCATGTGGAAGTTGATTGACATTTTATTAACAAGAAGCTTGAGAAGAAGATTGTATCTATACTGTTTGTAAATTTTGAGGAGCAACTCGCGGATGTCCTTACTCATGTTGTGTGCAGTAGAACATTTAGCGACTCACTTGGCAAGTTGGGCATGTGTGATATCTATGCACCAACTTGAGGGAGAGTGTAAACGTGAGCTATTTTAAAAGGGGCATGCATAGATTATGTGAATATTATGTGTCCTTTATTAGGAAGGATATATTTTGTGTCCTTTATTGTTTCCTTGTAGTACAAGAACTGTATATCAATATATCTATGATTATGTAATACAATGAGAATTGAGCTGTAAAAATTCTATTGAAAATCAAATCGTGTACCTCTAGGTCATGGAACCAAGTATCCTCGTATTTTGGGGTATGATCATCACAAACTACATAAATACACTTGGCATGAGCGTCTCGATACTCGTATTGTAACTTGGTTGAAACTTCATTTGAAACTCACTTGGTTGAACTACCATAGAATGTTGGTGCATTTGATTTGATGCAGGCTCGACGAAATTTATTTGTCTCCTACAACGATGACAACTTCTTCTGTGAAGATATATTTTGACCTTCATATAGGACTATTTGTGAGCCATAAACCTTCTCGTCAACTAGGAGATCAACAGGCAACTCGTCCTCTGTATCAGATTCTAATATTGATTGTTCTCCCTCAATATATTCGGGGCGATCTATGACATCCGTAAGCCGTTGATGTTCTTCATCACGACCTCACATTTCAGATTCTTTTGAAATCATGTTTGGAGCTTGATTCCTTATAGTTGAATAATTGTCAAAATTATCTATACGGGGGTTTTCAACACCTTTTCAATTTTTGCATTATTATTATGTTACCGTTTGAATAATTAGCATTCGTAATCGGAGCTAAAATTGTGCCATGATTAATTGCTTCATCTTCCACCAAGATCTAATTCGATCTTTGCCTTGCCACCCTCGACTTTCTTAAAATTCATCTCACTAATTAGTATCACGACCCTTAAGTTTGAATGAAGCCTATTTCACCTTCTTTTTCTTTCGAGAATCTCTTTTACAATAAAATAGTGCTACAATTCCCAAATCCAGTCCAAAAACTTATCGATGGCTGGGATTCCATCAAAATAAGTGACTTTTTAATAAAATTCTTCAACCGAAGTACAAACCAGATTGTTGATGCATTCTTCCATGACCACAAATTTTCGACTCAAATATGCAAAACTTGTGAGGGGAGTGATAACTTTGCCATCGTTATTCATGGAACTGGGCTCTACGGCTCCGATGTCAACTGGCACAATGAAAATTATAGATAAAAAGGATCACAAGTGGTCACCCTTGAATAAATTTTTGGAACACTTAAAAAATTGAGAAACATGCTTGAATTTTAATTAATAATGTGAAAATTACAAACCTAAGGCCAACATGACCTATTTATAATGTCACTTAATCCTAAAGTCCTTAGGAATCCAAATAGGAAAGGAATTAAACAAATAACAAAATAAAAACAAAGATCTCAAAACGTTACAACCGAATTAAACACATTTAATGACATAATTTGTCCCAATCACCAGTAGAAAAAATGATTTGAGCGACCAAATTTTAGGCGACGAAAGGAAACTCGTCGCGCAAAACAGGTTAACGCAACAAATATACAATTTCGTCGCGCAAAGGTTCGCAGAAAAATGCGCTAATGCCTGTATTTTGGTGTCAAAAAACAGATACGGTGTGTGTCACTTTGCACAACCAATGTTTCGTTGTGCAAAGGTTCACACATTTACTAGACTGTCAGTTGTTTAGTCAAAGTGTTGAATTCGGTATTTACTCCATGGTTTTGCACGATTCCTTTAAATTGACAGTTTCACTTAGTCTCAACACAATTTAATCCGAAAACTCTTTACTTTCACTGAATTATTATTCCAATTTTTGTTTGTTTTTTTGTATGCGATGGTAAACTCTAGTGGTCATTCGTCAAAAAGAGTTCAAGGTGAAGGTCCTGAGAAAGGTAATACGTACTAAATTTTATTGGTTGTGTAAATTAATTAAATATTTAAGTAGACTAATATAAGTTTTTATTATGTTGGTAGACAAGAAAAAGAAGAGAGCTGCGACATGCGTTCGATACACTTCTTCTGCTAGGAGCCGCTACTGAATCACTTACGCAGAATTAGTAGGATATGAGAAGTTGGATATGGTGAACAAGTTTAGGGCCGACGTCAGGGTATTGGTGCGTGACAGATGCGGAGTGAATTGGGAGTCTTGGAGAGACGTCTCCGAGGAGATAAAGACAATGACACGCCCGACCTTGATATTCACCAAACACCAGGGTAGGCACGTACTGGCTGACAGGTGACGAAGTCATATTAGGATGCCTGAGAACTAGAAACAATTAATTGACATAAATAAAACTTGTTAATTTAGCTATAATGAATATGCAATTGTAGAACGTTTTTAGCGCATACAACTAATCCGAGGCACTAAAAAGGAATAACATAAATTGAATGAACAAAAAGGATGGGTCCTACACCGAGAGGACTTGAAGATGCCGATGTGGGAGTGCCTTGACGCTGGGATTGTACGCCTCGATTCTAAGTCATGAAGGGGCGCAAAACAAAACATGAGTGTACCAAGTTGATGTATAAGTAATACAAAAACAGTTAATCGTTAAAGTACTAACCCCCAAGTTTAGAAAACTCATATATCATAATAAGTAATAGGTTTTTCCGAAAACCCTAGCATGCCACGGAACCTTTCATAAGACATATATCGTATATAGGATGCTTAGTAGTAGTAATACAAGGCATATATACACACACGCACACACACACACACACACATATCTTCATTCGCCTGAAGGCACATCTCTTGGCCGAAGCCAGCAACCTATGCCCGTAGGCAGTATCATTTGCCCATAGGCCTTAAATCATCCGACCGAAGCCAATTAATGATTTCATTCGCCCGTAGGCACGACCATTCGCCCGTAGGCAGTTCGTATGAATAACCACTAAGTAAGCACATAAAAACATTAACATAATATTTCTAATGTACATATATATATATATATATATATATCTCAAATCGGAGCTCAGTAACTAAGATGTCATATCATAAAACCATGTTCATAAGTAGGTATATAGTCATCAATCATATATACCACAAAGAACGTAAAGTCGATAAAGCATAATATATCATAAAGTGTATATCCAATTTACTCATAAACATTTCATAAAACGTAACCAACAAATCATGATTTTCATGTATGTATTTCTAATAGTAAAATATACATTTTATAAGGGGTCCACTCATAGATACTTTGTCGTCGAAGAGCCGTGCAAGCTAGAGAAGACGGAAATACCATAAACAATTGCACCTAAGCACATAAAAGGTCCAATTAATAAAACTCTACTGTAAAGATTGAATTTCAGAAAATGGACGTCATAAACAGATTTAGGATGTCAAAAAACATAAGGATGGACCTAGGGTACCCCCACGCGCCGATTTGGGTCGTCGGAAAGTTGGCCGAAAAAGTCACTGGCGCTGTTGTGGTCATTACCGTCCACGGCGGCGGAGTATAGTACCTTTCGTGAAGGCTCGTGTACTCCACGCACCGGCCAAGACATGCACCCATGCACCCCCACGCATAGGCCTACGCTCCACTCACACGCTGGTCAGGGTTATGGGTTACAAGGTTGGGTATGGGGTCATTGGCCCAAAGATTTGGGCTGGGTAGCTAGAACTGGACTTGGGTTCTATGGGTTTGGGCTCATATTGGGTTACGAATTTTGGGCTATCGGGTTGGATCAACCTGATTTTTAGACCGGATTCACGAAGAAGGAAGTCGGAGCTTCCGAAGCTCCAATCAACCCTGATTCTCAACCATGACCTACAATTTACTTACCAAAATGGAGACAAACAAGTGTAGATTAAGGTGATACCTTTGGTTTCCCTGGTCATGGTCGGAGTTGGTCGGAAAACGGTTTGGAAATCATAGCATTCTCACGGAAATGTGGGGAAAACTCCTCGAGTCGTTTTATGCATCCAACGGCCACCAAAACAACTCAAAATTGTCCCAAACTCACATATAAACACTATACAAGAGATTCTAGGGGCTTACCTACGTCAAGGGTTAGTCGGAGAAGGAGGTGCACAATGGCGCAGCCACGATGCAATGAGATATGGCAAGGTTGATGGTGTCCTTCCTTCATTCCATGCTTCGTGGAACTCGCAGGGTTAAAGGGTGAAGGTGGTGAGTGGTGTTGTCATCGTTGTAAAGGTGTATGCATGTGTGGTGCTCAGGGGAAATGAGAGGATGCAGTGAAAGAGGGAGGGAGAGAGAGAGATCCAAGAGTTGTCACGGGGAGGAGGGAAGAGAGAGGATGAAACGTTAGGCCGGGGGGACAAAAACCAAAGGGTAGGCCCCCTTAGGCACACCAAATAAGACCCAAACAGCAACCCATTCAAAATATCTAGCCCAATCTAGAGAAAATTACCAATATACCCTTTGAATAAAAAATCTGTAAAATTATTCGGGATGAGTTATAACAATTTACCCCTGTTAAGAAAATTTCAACCCAAAATTTGAAATAACGTACCATACATAAATACTCGAAAATAGGAAATGATATATGTATAGAGAAGAAATCAAGTTAGAGTGGTTCCATCAAAGAGAATATGCCACACCGTCGCGAGTGGGTTGCAAAAATCGTCTTTCATGCCTCCAAGCTCCTACTTTCTTCCCACATCAACATAATCGTAGAAACATATTTTATAAAGATATAAAGTCAAAATTGTATAATAACGTAAGGTCAAGAATAGATAAGTATAAAACGATAACGTCAAAATAGGTACATACTAACATAGAGGTCGAAAACTAGTATTGAACTTAAAACTGAAAGTGGAAAAGACTCAACTAAACATTTGTAAGGTCAAAAATACAAATCTACTACTATAATAAGGTAAGTTAAAATAATTGTACTGAAAATTAAAGTCGAAGGTGAAAGTGGATCTCGCCCAAGCATTCATAATGTCACGTACTTCGAGAACAGGTGTGTTTCTTTGGGTCAAGCCCCAACAATAACTAAACAGTAACAACTATCGTAGATGGTTCTACTTGTCCACTTGCTTAACGAACCCAACGAATAAGTTATCGATATTATAGTTGGCCACCCATGATATCGACAACACATTGTTGTCTCGATAAGCAAGTAGTAATTTTCGATCGTCACGCAAGGACTTACGCGACAAAATGTTTGTTGCTACAACCTTTGCGGGATGAGAGTTTGCAATTATGAAATTTACGTAAATATAGATACTAAAGATCTATGTTTACGTAAACTTCTTAATTATAATTAATTACGTATTTTATCGCTATAAATTTTGCATGAAGAAACTTAGTCGCATAGAATTTATGCGACGATCTCCCACAAACACGCTTGTGCGACGAACGTTTCGTCGCGTAAAGGGTGTAAAAAACGCGGTTAAGTTTACCGCCATATTTCGAATCTATATGTTTTGCACGACAAATTGTTCGTCGCGTAAGATGGTAAAAAAATGGGTATATTTGGTGTCATATTTCGAACCTATATGTTTTGCGTGATGACTTGTTCATCGCACAAATTCTTCATCTTTATAATCAGACTCCTCAGGTGCAGAGGCAGAAACTGCAAATTTTGCAGCTGCTGCCTCTGCCATCCTTCCTTACTACTGTATTCAATAAGTGTTTCCGTTATATATTTCAAAAATTTGTTGTGAATTCAAACTAACGCCATTAAATTTGTTGTGTATATGGTTGGTGTGCATGACAAAATTAGAGGTATATTGTTTGGTTTTTTAATTAGGAGTTATTTGAATTTACAACAAATTAGATGTGAATAATTAATAAGGGTTGTTAATTTGTATGTTAATTAGAGGTGTATTGTTCCTATTTGGTTTTTGGAAGAAAACCAAAAGTGTACGTCTCGTACAAAATTGTTTTGTGTTGTACTGAGTTACTAGTAATTAACTCTGTACGCGTATTTTCAATAAAAGCTTAGTCTCCCATTCGAGGATTAGTTAGATTTCATGCATGGATGCGAAAGCATGACTGCGGTCCAGTTGATTCTTGAATTGTCCCATTATTTGGACATTTTGGGAATGCCTAGTTATGGGCCGTAGTTTATGGTTGAAGGATTAGGTTTCGATTGTGGGAATTTCGATCACATCTTTTTACGTTCTTCGAGTGCCAGATAGGTATTTTGATATCTATGTCAGCAACTTGAAGAATTGGAGGGAGATGCTGCTGGAATTTTCCCACATTGAAATCTAATCCAATGAAGTCGTAAATTGCATCACATAACTATGAATTCCCAAATGGGATTAGGGCCCTAATCGGAGGCATAAGGTGACAATATCTCGTTGGAGTTGTGTATTGATTTCAATTTTATTGTGCTTGCAGATATTATGGACAGACAGTGGATACAGAATCCAAACAGATGTGCACCCATGTACTTGGATGGAATAAATGAGTTTATTGAGTTCGTATCAAGAATTCAGTGTCCATGTAGGAGGTGTAACAACACCTTAAAGGAGATTTTTGAAAAATGTTCGATTCCACTTACTAAGAAATGGGATGACAGACACATATACGACTTAGAATCACCATAGGGAACAATTAGACTATGCTTCGTCGTCAAATGTGACGCGAATGAAAAATGTGGATCCTAACGAACAAGTTACGAATATTATAAATGACACTTTTCCATTTCCCTCAATTAATACGTACGAAGGAGGGGATGATGATGTGCCCGAATCGATGGACAATGAAGCTTTCGAACAATATGAAAAACTGTTAAAAAGTGCGAACCAAGAATTATACCTGGGATGTGAAGACTATTCAGTGTTCACGACCATTGTGGAGTTGATGTATGGAAAAATAAAGTATTGAATTTCCAACCAGTGCTTAGACTATTTGTTGGGGGTTATCAAGAGAAGCTGCCAAAGGATAATAGTTTGCCGAAAGATTCATGCTTGCAAAAATATTTGTATATTATTCTATAAGGAGAATAAAGCGTTGGACAAATGCCTGGTATGTAATGAGTTGAGGTTCAAAATGACATTGCAAATAGATCGACGAATATTCCATAGAAAGTTATACGTTATTTGCCACTAAAGCTGAGGTTGCAACAATTGTATATGTCAACGCATACTGCAAGTTACATGAGATGACATAAAGAAAGTTGGGTGGATGATGACGTGATGAGGCATCCAGCAGATGGAGAGGCATGGAAATATTCGATCTGATGTAACCTGATTTTACAGCTGAGACTCGTAACGTTAGGTTGGGACTTGCCATTGACGGATTCAATCCTTTCGGGGTTCTAAACCTATACCACAACACTTGGCTAATATTTTCTTTCCTTATAATTTTCCACCTTGGAAATGCATCAAGAAAAAATATATGATGATTACTTTTTGATCACCAAGGATCCCAGCAAGTCTATTGATGTTTATTTGTGGTCGTTGGTTGATAAGCTAAAATATTTATGGGAAAATGGTGTTCGCGTGTTTGATAAGTCTACTGAGAAGATGTTCACAATGTGGGGCAGCAGTGACATGGACAATAAATGATTTTCTGGCATATGCCATGGTTTTTGGGTGGAGACTAAAGGTTATTTTGCATTGTCCAGTTTGTAAGGATGACATCATATTTGGTTGGCATGCCAGAAATGTTTGCTATCTTGGCCATTGGAGATGGTTGCCTTGGGACTATGAGTGGCGTGAGAAGGACAAAGAGTTCGACAGCAAAATAGAGCCTCGGCTCAAACCCAGAGAGTGGTCCAGTGACCAAATTTTAAAAAACTTAACTGTTTGGATTTCGATCCTTTTGGGAAAATTGTAACTAGGCCCCGACCAACAACTCATCTGGATTAGACCCACAAATCTATATTTTTTGAGCTCTCGTATTGGTCTAAGCTAAAACTGAGACACAACCTCGATGTGATGCATGTTGCGAAAAATATTTTTGACACATTGGTAGGCGCAATTCTAGATATTGAGGGCAAGATGAAAGACACTGTTAAAGCTTGTCTCGATCTAGAACGAATGGGAATACGGCCCCGTTTATGGATGAATAGGGATGGCGACATAACAAGAAGGTTCATTGCTTTTTTTTTTTTTTTTTTTTTTTTTTTTTTTTTTTTTTTTTTCACTCAAACCAAAAGACAAAAGAATTTTTGAAGTTTCTATCTTCAGTCAAGTATCCAGATGGGTATGCTTCAAATATTGGCCATTGCGTGAACGTTGAAGGCGGAAAAATTTCAGGACTAAAGAGTCATGATTGCCATGTCATTCGGCAATGTCTACTTCCAGTTGGTATTCGGCACCTATTGCCCAATGATGTTGTGAAGCTAATTATATTGTTGTCTGTATTTTTATTCCCAATTGACTACAAGGTCGTTGTGAAAATCAGACATTAATCAGTTGCACCAAGATATTGTCTAAGTCCTCTGCGAGTTCGAACAAATATTTCCTCCAGCTTTCTTCACAAGTATGATCCACGTTATGGTTCACTTGCCAGATAAGACATTGCTTGCTGGATCAGTTTGTTATCGATGGATGTACCCAATAGAAAGGTATAAACTCATTATTCAAATGTTTATTCAACATCATACAACATGTTTATCTAATTTATTTGCTAACAGTGTTTGTATTTTTCCAGGCTTCTCAGCAACCTAAAAAAAGGTGTACGAAATAGGGCCAAGCCCGAAGGATCCATTATAGAGGCTTGGGTTGCATACGAGTCCCTTATATTTTGTGGAATGTATCTAAAAGATGTTTAGACGACTTTTAATCGTCTTCAGTGCAATAATGATGAAGGTGTGTGAAGGGAGAAATTTTCTGTTTTTGCCCAAGTCGCACGACCCTTTGGCGAGCCTGTTTGAGGGGAGGCATTTACCAAAAAAGATATGGAGGGTTCGCATTGGTTCATGCTAAACAATTATGATGAGACAATGATTTACCTAGATGAGCATGAACAAATGATGAAGCGGGATTATCTTTCACATCTATATGTGAAGAAGCATCTTGAATTGTTTCCTCAGTGGTTTCTCGAATATGTAAATTTTTTGCGTTTGTATTGAACTTGTTGTAGTAATTTCATCAATATATTCGAAGTGGCTATAACCAAAAGTTATTTTTTGCTATCTTGTTAGGTAAATTAGTTAAAAACATCCAATTCACCCGCTTACACTGAAGAGTTATATAACTTGGCATTTGGTCCTATTCGAGCAGAATTGTACTCCGGTTGCCATGTTAACGGCGTCCAATTTTTTGGGGCTGAGTGTGATGACAAGTTGTGTATGCAAAACAACAGTGTCCATGTCTCAGGTGGTGGCAAAAGTATAGAAATTGAGTTTTACGGCAATTATCCAGTGTCGTACAAGTGCTGTACAAAGACCGTTACCAAATTATCGTTTTTAAATGCCGATGGTTTGATACAAACCCACATAGGCAGGGAAGTGTTAAAAGGGACCATGGCTTACTTTCAGTCAACACTAAGTACTTCTTCTTTTTGTTGCTTTTATTCCAAGGGGTTCTAAATTCCCGGAGATAGACGTTTTTAAGGATGTTTATGTTCAACTCGAAGATGAACTTGCCGAGCATCTGCACCTAAGTACTTCTATTCAATTTCCTATTTCACGTTCTCATTCTATCTTATTGTCATAGTCGACGATGATGGAGAAGAGCCAGCCCATTCTTCAGGAGTTTGCCTCCCAGCTTCCCTCGAACACTCCTATTGAGTCTGTGGTTCTGCCCTAGAATGCGGGGTTTCAAATCATGACCGAGACCTTGGATACGACCCTCGTGTGGACGCTAGGGAAGTATTGTCCGGGGATGGGGCAGGCTCATCAGCGCGCTACTGAGGCCTCATCATCATTGCAACCACAGGACCCTAGCGTCATTGAACTGACGCATTAAGTGGTTGACCTGAGTAGTAAGCTCGCGTTGATTGTTGAGGCCCTCAACTCGAATGGCATCCACCTTCCACCTCCAAGCCACATAACCCGTTGACCTTTAAGCCTGTCCACCAGCCCGACCGTTATCCTCCCCAACACATCGACTCGAAACCTGTCTAGTAGCCTGACTTCCAGACTGGTTTCTAGCCCGACCCGCACCCTGACCCACAGACGACCCCATTTAATGACCAAATAGATTATACTAGCTAGTAATGCCCGCGCGTTGCTGCGGGATTACAAATTCCAAGAATAACAAATTTGTAAGTGGAAGTACCTCGTTGAAAGCCTTCTAGAAGCAGTATAACACCTTTTGGAACCTTTGCCTCATTCTGGTCCGGAGTGCATAATGCGCAAGCAATTTAAGTATTTCCCAGCACCACAGAGCATCATATTTCCTAGGATTAATCAACAATGCCTCCTCCAGCTTTGAAATAGCATCTGGGCAAACAAACACAAATCCGCATTTACAAGTTTTTACTTCACTCCCAAATAAATAATTAATAAAAATAACATGGAGAATTTCTACATCTAAATAATTAATAAAAAAAGGATATTTCGGGGAAATTCAAAGTTAACACCTTGAGTTAGCTTCTTTGATTCCAGTACATTCCAAAACTGAGACAGATTGCTCTCCATTTCCTGTCATAATACAGACATGCAGTTTCTATTTTTTGATCAACATGGTCGACATCTTTTACAGTCGGTTAGATTGCATCTCCTTACATGATTGAGAAAACAATTGAATCACAATTAACATTTGTTAACAAAAATTTTCAATCATATATCCAATCTCACAGAGAGATCACAATGAAATAGTTGTTATCTGGCGGTGAAACTTAAAAACCAAAAATGCACCTTAATGTCCTAGAGAGAACAGAATTGCAAGCAAAAGTAGGATATTGAAACAATATTGTGATAATCACGAAATAAGTTCATGGGTTTGCTAATATTGATTTATTAGGTAATTTAGGTTCCAACTTTGTCTCAATTTATCATTTTCTGTTAAACTGAAAGTGTAAACATTTAAGCATTTACCAAGAAAAAAGCAATTAATTATTTGATGCTACTTACAAAACCAATTGGCATACATAGGCTTTGATTAAAAGGTTAAGTATTTACCAAAAGATTCCAGCTGCAAAAATGCATGGAATATCTACAAAGTGTTTGATAAATCCATAATTTAATTCCTTCTCTTCCTTCATTTTCCTTGCACCCAAGAAAAGAAAAGCAATTTAGTGCCAAACCTTAAAAAGAACCTATAAAATCCAGAGTAAACATTAAAGAAAGTTAACAGTGTAGGAAATAAATGTTTGCCCAAATAAAAAAAGGAAAGACGTTTCCTAGCTACTAAAAAATGGAAAGATGTTTCCTAGCTATATTTCAAGCAAGCTCATATACACAGAACATATCAATTGTATCATACACATAAGTCAAACAAAAGCATTAGAACTAATAATAAAATGGAAATGAAAACCTATTAACCAATTTATTAACAAATTTTTTGTGTAGATCGCTAACTCGCTATTCTTAATTTATCAAATTGATTAAAATTACTAATTCTCTTATATCTATCAATACCCCTCCCACCCTAGAACAATAAACAAAAAAATTCTCAATTTCTTATATCTCACAAAGAAAGTCACATGCATGTCCATTTCAAATCTTACAACCAAAAGAAAATATCAGAGTTTCTTAGTTTCTTACCCAAATCCACCAATTTGAATCAAATCTCTACACCCCAGCTTGAAATCTGTCTGAAATCACTTGCACGAACACAAATCTTATACATGCAGAACAGTTTAGGTGAAGTTGAGGGAATAGGTAGTAATGAAATTAACAAACAACCAAATTCCAAACGAATAATTAATTGTTAGATGTAGATGTACAACCCGAAATTAACACTAATAAAAAATAGCACTTGAATAAAGTGCATAAACAAAAGCTGTGCTAACATGAGAAAACATGCAAAACAAAACAATGTTAAATATCCTAGGTGTTCCATTTATAAATATTTTCCATTTTTATATATTTAAACTACCAATTATCTGCATAAATATTTCATTCCCTTACAACTACCACAACTATATATAAAACATACTTAATAGAGCATGTAATTGATTTAATTACGTGCATAAAAGCCAATAATTTTATCCACTGTGATTATTTTTATGATTTGCATTTATTTAGAATTCATAAATGCAGGAAAAGAATTATAGGAACTTAAAATTTTTAGAACAAAGAAAAACTATCCATGTATTGTGAACTCTATGTACAGAGCCTTTACATGGCCAAAAGAAAACAAAACAATCAGTAAGAGCTCTTACATGCACAGATCAACAAAGAAAATTCATCAGCATTTTCTTACCCTTTCTTTCACAAAATCTTGTCTTCCAACCAGATCCTGCTATCTAATCCACACCTTGTCCTGTACATGAAAATACACTCCAAATGTAAATTTCAAAGTTGTTGTAATTTAAAATCATCATGCTAAGATAGGCAATCCAAGATAATGCTACTCTTTAGTCTGGATTTTAAGTCTTCAAATTCAGAAACATTTCTGGAACGAATGAAATGATCTAGGACCATCATTCAAATAGAAACTCTTGGCCCTTCATTTGATTAGATAGTGCTCTAAATTAAAACCCAGCAATCAATTCGCAAGCTACTCCAAGTAAAATCTAAAGCAACCCACTCTAAATTTTTAAGCCAACAATCCAACATTAATAACAAAAAAGAACAATGCAAAAAGCAGAACTCATATGAAAAAGACATTGAACAATAGCTTAAATCCAAAGCAACAAAGAATAATCTAATGACAAAAACCAATAACAAAGGACAGAGTTTAGCAACTGACCTTGAAATATAATCCAGAAAAACAAATTGAAATAATCAAATTCCAAACCACTCTCATAATTCTGCAATGGAGAAGAAAATATTAGAGATATTAACATAGATTTTTTGGTTTGTATAGTTGGGAACACTTTGCAGAACTGGAGAAAAATGTGTACCTGATCAGTTTGTACTGCCCTATCCGGTGGATTCTATCTTATGGTTGCCTCTCAACAGCTGGGTTCCACCAAGGGTAGATTAACAAAACCTATTCTAAAATGCAATGTCTTTAAATCACTTAATCCCCATCTGTATAAGTTAATTCTCAATAATTTAGACACGAAAACAGAAGACATTACTCACATGCGATGCAATTGTCAGATGAAGAGCAACTCCTCTTTCAAGCTCATTCAGAACTATCTCTTGCAGACATAGTCATGCTTCCAAACAACTAAACACAATTGATACCAAATTGCAACAATTTCTTTAAATTAGTCATAGTTATCTATTGATGCACAAATATAAAATTTTGTATATATTCAGTTTCACCTTTTGCAAGGAGTAGTTAATGATATCCAAGAACGATGCGAAGACATATCATGGGTTAAACTATCTATGAGTTGAACAAAACTAAAACGCATTGTACAGCGCAAATGAAATAGCCAAAAAGCAAATGAAATAGCTAAGTTACCATTCTTTGTCTTAAGCATCAAAACTCGCATTCCACCAGGTACCTTTCCACTTCTTCATATCCTCTGCAACAAATAAACTATATCAACCTTTTTACCCACCCTAAAAAATACTTGAAATCTGATCCACATGCTAAAACACACCCCACAAAAAAAATAAAAAATAAAAAAATAAACTTAATTATATATGATTATTTCACCACATAATTCTAATTAATTGATGAAATTTTTTTAATTAATTAAACTGAGTTAAATATTAAATATAAAAACCAATAATAATTGTGATTGTCCATTTCCTGTTCCCCGGGCTTTCCACTTGGAGTTCAAGATAGCACGAAACCACCAAAAAAAAAAAACTATTCAATTTCTAAGACCAGAGCACAAAACCAAGCAAACACCACCACCTGCAACAGAAACAACACAGTAAAACAGAGTTCTAGAGAGAAAAAAAAAGAGGACTTCAATTTTACATCGATCGAGCAATCGATCTAGATGAAAACCCTAAACCTCGAAGACCAAGATTTCCTAAAACGAAAAATCGAATTAGATGGAACAGCCACACACAAATCATCGAAAAAAATAAGAAAAGATTTGAACGAAAAAACTCATAGACCTTAATCAGGGGTTTGCAAGGTTGTACAAAAAAACCCCTAAAATTCGCACACCAATTTTCCTGAAACAAAAAAACCCAATCAATTTAAACAACCACACTGAAAACACAAATTTTCTTCCCAATCAGAGAAAAGATAAAAAGATAAAAAATAAAAAATAAAAAAAAAGCAGAGAAACCACCTGAAACAGTACAATCAGCCGGAAAAAGAAACTCTTCACACAACACACGATCGACGATAGACGCGGCGAGAGAAGCAGGGAAACACGAAGGGTTGACGCGGGGAGAAAAGCACAGAGAGGAAAGAAAGGAAAAAGCGACGGAAGAAAACGGAAGAGCCTTCGAGCACCTTCCTCACCAAAAACGAAAAGGAACGGTGGAGAACTCTTCGAATCACACTAACGTGTCAACATCGCTTAGAAGCAAACAGGCAGGCACGCGCAACACCTATGATGAAGGGTAAAATAGCCAATTTACTGCACAATCCCACTAAGGCCGAAAAACCATGAAGAAACTGAGGGACGAAATCGGAACGACACTGTTAATGAACAGTGCCAATCCACTGAGATTTAGTATATATAGAATGTGTCTTTTTTTTCTTAGTTTTAAACTTTTTACTTGTATGTACATTTTTATTTGATATATAAATGTCTTTTTTTTCCCTCCATTCATTATAGTTGCAATTTTAATAAAAAGTAATTATTATTTAAAAAAGTTATGTAACCAGAACCTAAAAAAAAAAAAAAAAAAAAAAAGGAAAACAATTAAATTAACCAAAAAAAATTTTTTTTTTTGTGCAACTTCATGTTCGTCGCATAAAGTAGTATCAACATTTTTTTATTTTTTAAGTTAAAATTAATTAAAAAAATTGACACCGCGTAACAAATGCTTGGTTGCATAAATTTTTTGTGAACTAGTGTCCTATATCAAGTATTCATCACACAAACTTGCTAGCTACCAGATCCACCGTCCAATGTATTGTATCCCGTCCAGCTCATTTTGTTGCATCAAGTTACACACGACAAAATCATTTCGTTCCCTTAAATTCTGCGCGACAACGTCTCTGTCGTCGCGCATGTTCATTCTTGTGTGACACAATTTTTGTTGTCGTCGCACAAAGTCTGTTTTCAACACCCTCGCACGACGAACTTTTTGTAGCATAAATTCCAATGCAATGCTATGCCACTTTACGTGACGAATTGCCCTTCGTCTCGAAAAGTGTTAAATGTTGTAGTGAATTATGATTGGGCTCATTGGGGATCAATGGGTCTTCTAGATTTTGTCGTTTTTTTTTTCAAATCCAAATGTTACGAGCCCAAAACTAACGGGCCAAACCAAAGTAGCATTAATTCGAACAACCTGAAAACTCCAAAACATTCACTTTCGGATATGGCATCAATAAATAATCTTTTAACCAGTAACATTCACTTTCGGATATGACATCATCAAATAATCTTTTAACTCGTGAGTTACCAAATCTCCAATCACTTTTCTTAATTAAATAACACTTCCTTCTTTTAACTTTCCTGAGAATAACACCAGTTATGTCCTCCGTCAATTAAACAAAGTATAAGAGAATTTTCTAGTCATGTATTCTTCACCACACATTTCGCTATATATGACAGGAGTACAAATTGGTAGTTACATGAAACTAACTCTAATACTTAAAATATAACACGAAAACAATCTGTCTCAAGTTCAAACAAAGATATCACGCATGATTAGCTTGTCAAGCATGTTGAAAAACATTCTACTCGAGTTTGCCTCAATTTTCACAAAGGGAAACACAATGATCTCGATATTCAACTTCTCTCTAACAAAATGACCATAGATCTAAGCATGATCATGTTGTCGGTGTTGTGCTCTAAATGCCAACTTCATGGTATTGGATATTATATAACAACTCCATATTAATTAATTAAATATTAGGACAAAATATAATTCATAATACACTATGAATGAGTCCATAGGATTTAAGGTATGGAAGCAATGTCTTAAATGAGGTTGAGGTAGGGAGACCATGTATTTGATAGTCACTTAGTCCTTAAATAAAGTTATTAGCCGTTTGGGAAGTCAATTGGACATTGACTACCTAAAAAATTCGCTGTATATTGCATTAAGGCTAGCATGGTCTCGTGCTATGCATGTTGGACACATATTGCTCGTTTGTTGAACAAGTTCACTGAACACCGACTGCCTAAGAAGCTCCCTTAAATCCACTTGAAGATCCATATCGGAAATCTTTGGTCAGAGTAACTGTTGATCAAGCTATGTATGTACGAACTCCTTCAACACGAGATGCATCATGATGATCATATAGATATCTATATGTGATTTGACATAATTCCATATTACATAAATCTTGATCAAGATATGGATGATAGAAGAACATAATTGCATCATAACTACAATCAAGGTTCAAAAGAGTATCATCACTAGTCCACGTATATTTCTACTAATTTCACTGATGGGTTTAATCAGAAGAGGTCACACACCTATGGTAGTTCTAGCAACATTAACCACAATGATGGTTAGATATAATTAATTGCTAATTATATTAGATTAATTATTTGGGCATATTGGACATGTTTTAGATAAATATGTTTTAGGCTTTATTTAATTGAAAATTTAACTTTCCCCCTCCAAACTCATTTTTTCTAGCGTCTAGCCCATCATATAATATTTATCCGAATAAAACCTAATGTTTGGAATCCAACTAAGCCACTTACCGAATTAAGTTTGTGTGTCCGGTTTTATATTTTTTGGATCCCTAATATACCCCATCTAAGCCAGCATGGAAAGTTCTTGTAATTTTGTTTTAATTCATCACGTGCATTGAATTTGCCAAGGTCTTGTAGCCATGACATATGGTTCTAGATGGAGGAATTAATTTGGATTTTTTTATTTTATTTTGACAATAAATTTCAATTTGAATATACCTAATTTAGTGTTTATTTTCAACACTATCGATTGTTTAATTTTATGAAAATAATTTACCTACTTTGAAAATTAATTTTATGAAAACAATATCTATTGTTTAATTTTATCAAAAATAATTTACGTACAATATAATTACTTGAAAATTAATGTGCCTACTTTTTAAATTTGTAACAAAATAATTTACCTACTATGAAAATTAATTTTATGAAAACAATATCTATTGTTTAATTTTATGAAAATAATTTTGACACACCCCGTCCCGAAGGAGGGCATGCTGGCCGTCACGTGAGAGTGACGTAACCATTTACACAGTACGGAAGCTTTAAAGATACAATTTCTAAGATGAAACACCCAAAGGTGAGTCTTAATTTTTGTCCATTCTGTCAGAACACCGTTGGATTCCTCGTAGCCACCAAGCTCTGATATCTCAAACCTGGAGGGGCGCAAAACAAAGTTGAGTGGGTCAGCAAAACAAACTTATTCAGAACCTTCTTTTCTCTTTGAATATACTAACCCCTCGCCGTAAAACAAGTATAGTTTCCCAGAAAATAAACATATATACGTATGTATAAATATGCCAAACATGCTCAAGGGTATATCATTCATGCTCAAGAATATGCCATGTCGGAAACTCATAATGAAATGTAAGTGCTCAGGCATAACTCATATCAATAACATATAATCTGGCAGCCGGAGTCACCTAACGTGACCTGTACGGCTGCATATAGAGCTCAAATCTCAAACTCAATAACTGAATAACTGAACCTGACCACGAGTCGGAACCACCTAAAGTGGTCTGTACGACAGGACTGGGTGTAACGTATATATACGCTCTAGTGCTACGATCACGTGAAGGCTGGGCGAATAATCGCGGGTCACCTACGAGTCGGAACCACCTAATGTGGTCTGTACGACAGGCCTGTGCACTTAGCTTGGATCCAAGCTGAGCATGAAGTGCGGGGAGGTGAACATCACGTGAAGGACTGGGCCCTGCTCAGGGCGGGAGCACTAACACCGGGGGTGCAGGTTATGAGCTCTCTAAGCATCTCAAACTATAACTCAATCATATTTCAATCATATCACAATCGTATAATTCATCATATTTCAATCATAACTCAATCATATCTCATGATCGTTATCAGCATAATATCTCAATCATATTCCAACCCTATCTCAATCATATTTCAATTGTATTTCCATAGTATTTCAATCGTATTCCAAATGTATTTCATACGTATATCAAATGTATTTTGTACGTATATCAAATGTATATCAAATGTAGCTTACCTGGGCCTCCTCAGCACCATGCAACAGTATGCATAATTATGATAATGCACATATTAAAATATGATGCATATATGACAGGATATTTAATTCGTATTTCTTTTAAAATACGTTTTCTGGGAATACGTCAAGCATACGTATATATATACTGAAAAATAACTGCCCACTCACTGATAAGTAGCCGGCTCGTAACCCTCACGCCTAGTTTGGTTACATTCGTCGTCCGTACAAGTTTCACCTATAAAGGAATAATTATAAAATCATCACTTAAACGCACACACAAACATTCGTCAATAACTTTTTCATACGTTGCTCAATTTGGGTGTGTGAATATACCACGGAGATCTACACGACGTCACGAACACGTGACAATTTTTAGAACTCAATTTGGAGCTCTCACGCGCCATGTATACGCGCTGCCCACGCGCGCGTCTTCTTTCTCGCGTCGCCGGACTGGTTTCGCCGGAGGTGGGTGTTTTGCCGAAATTTCTGGGTAAACTTCAAAGTGTCATAACTTCTTCATTTCTTAACCATTTTTGACGTACTATATATCAAAATGAAGGTATTGACGAGACGAACACATCCATACCTACCTCGACCCCTAACTCGCCGTGGATTCGCCGGAAAAAGCCTCGAAAGTTCCGGCCAACTTTGAACCAAGCTTTCCCGACGTCCAAACTTGTCCAACGAAGCACTCCGAGGCTCCTTGGGACCTCACTAAGACATCTACAAGCTTCAAAAGTCCAAAAACATGCTAGTTTAAGGTTTGCATGAACAGTACATAAATCGGACTACCTCGAATCGACGTGAAAACGAAGGATTTCTCACCTGAAAATGGTATGGTTGCACTCGTACGAGCTTCACGAGTTCAAAAATGCCCTTGGTTTCCTCGATCCACTAAGGTTTGGGTGAGTGGTGTGTTGTCCGTACATTTACAGAAGGAAGAAGAAGAAATGGGAGCACGGGAGAGAAAGAGAGACAGGAAAGAAACAAAGGGAGAGGAAAACACGGGAGAGTGAGAGACAGTGTGTGTGAGTGTGTGTGTGTGGTCCAACACATGCCACACCACACAAAACAACACCAAACGTAAATGTAACGAACTAGGGGTAAAATAGTCAATTCACACGTACGTTTTTTTTTTATAATCTCGGGACGGGATGTCACAACCTACCCACCTTAATAGAATTTCGTCCCGAAATTCAAAACAACCAAATATAACCCCTAGTGATCGAAGAA